AGCGACAATAGACTAATGGTTTGGGTCGATGGCCGATCTTGCAGTCGAGGGTTCGAATCCCGCCATTCGACTATTGTCGTGAACCATATCCTAGCACAACTTTAGAGCTTAGTTGCAATAGTTAAAGGAAATATTAGACAATCACTAAAAATAATCTACTAATGTTTAAAAAAACAACTAAATTCGCTGAGTTATACCTAGGTATAACTCAGCGAATTTAGTTGTTTTTTTCGCAACATCTAGATGTTGCTTACATTCTTTTCGTAATACATTTTACGATAAGGCATTTGAATAACATTCGAAGCTACCATTATTCACATATTTAAGTGCTTAAATGTATACATAAAGCTTATGTACATAAAGCGTGCCAACAGTTAATTGATCAGTTGTAAAATTTATGAAAACATCAACTAATCTGTTGTCGACACAATGTGGCCAATTATATGATAGACTCACGACTTCGTCCTCGTGGAATAAAAAAAAAATAGCCTATGTTACTCTCTGATAACGAGCTTTTTAATGGTGAACGAATTTAAAATCACCCCAATAGTTTTTGAGTTAATACAATACATACAAAAATAGCACAATGCAAAAATACAAATCTTTCCTATTTATAATATTAGTATAGCGGTAAAGATTGCGAGATAAACGAGAATATCAGTCTACTGACCTCTTGATTTTTGAAAGGCACACTGACGTGCAGCTTGATGTTGCTACTGGCTTGAGTGCTGCTGACTGCGCCCCAACCGGCCGCGAACAGTCTCAAGTCCGGTGGCGTTGCTAGAGCAATGTCGGTACTCGGGAGGCATATCGGACGGATGAAATCTGAAACATTTTGATAGTAGTCAGTTTAAATTAATCACAATAATCCTGGGTTCTAGCAGATTTCCATAGGATGTCAATCAAGATTACACATCTTCAAGCTATGACATAGCCTATTCAAATAGGTAAAATCGGTTTATCGAACTTACCTCCATACGGTATCAGCTGGCCGAGCCTCAGCAGAGCGATATCATGTCTCCTCAGTGCATTATTAGGGTCGTACTGAGGATGCGGGATGATCTTCTCTATAGGCACGATAAGGGCGCCCTCAGTACAGTCCTCTCCTCCTCCCTCTACCTCCACGCAATCCTGCCCCGAGTTACTAGTGTCGTATTCACCGAGACGAACGTTGACGCTGGAATTATGGATACTATGTCATATTGGGATTTAAAAAAGGATCTCATAAACCCGTGGCTTTTATAATATAGCATGACCTAGTTCTTGAAAGAATTGGATGGTGGCTCCCTGTAGGACAAAGATGTTTCTACACATCTTTAGAACACCATAACTAGCTAGTACTTATGAGTGGGTTTAAATTACATTGTCCGTATACTCCGTTAAAACATAAGGTTGATCAAATCTTTACAGATCATTATAAAACCGTATAAAATTAAACTAGAAACTTACGGTGTGCCAACTGCAAGCACTGGGCCGGTGACACAGTGGCCGGCAGTTATCACGTATCTCCCGCTTATGAGCACTCCACCACACAACAGTTTGATCTTTTCATCTTTCTTGTACTCGAGAATTACAAGCCACGGGTACTGGTCGATAGCAGTCACATTACCACCTGGGAACAATAGGATGTATTGTTATCGAAACTACTGAATGTATAATTATGACTTGCGGAAAATACAAACCGTTGACTCATTAGTTATCAAGGTTACTGGAGTTATGGTTGAATTTGAAGTAACAGGATTTGTTCGTGCGTTTGTCTATGTTATAGTTATAGCGGGTTTTATTTTGCTTAGTTCCGTGAACATTGTATTGAGTATAAATATGATATTGGAAATTTTACAGACAAGCTCATTTTATTATGTTATAAATTTAAGTTGT